ATATCCAAACACACAGTATTTGTGAATAAGTTGATTCGGTTGCCCCACATGGAGTCTGTACTCACCACACCGTGTCTCATTGCCAGTGGCCACCTGTGGCTCCCGCCGGGATCTGGGGTGTGTCACCTTGCTCTGTTGTGTCTCGTGCCAGCAGCACGTTGCCATCCATCACCAGAGTTAGTCTTGACCACCTAGGACAGTTTTGTACCAAACTCATCTGATGTTTTACTGCCATTTGTCTTTTGTAAGGTTAATTCATTAAAACTTTTATGTACTTTGGTTTCTAGTGCCTGTATCTTTTATTTTCCTTTCTTCCTTCTGCTATAGTTTGCTCCAGAATTAAAGTTTGTTTTCCATCATTCTCCCTTGTGGCACACGTATTTCAGAAGAAGCCCTCCAGAAGCCAACATTGAGGTACCCTTGAGTCATTCAGTTCGGCACAAAGTAGGGGATGCAGATAATCAATGACACAGCTTCCTGGAGGGAAAGAAAGTATGCTTGGTGTTTCTAATGGTTTGGTTTGCATTTTGGAATCTCTTGAGATTCTTGAGGGAAAAAATATTTTAACAGTGAAAAGAGTCTTCTTCGCAAATCCCAGAGTCCCTCTGTCCCCTGGGCTCCTGTCCACAGTGATAGTTCCTGAGAACTAGTGGACAGGACTCCCTGAGAATAACTGGGAACCAGCTGTGTAAGTCGGGCATCAGAGCAGTTCAAGTGACCCAGAGAGGCTGCCATTAGTCTGAAGGTTAAGGAGACACAAAGCTAGTGCTTATGCTTTTCTCAACCCAGAAGACCTGGAAGGATTTCTTTCTTATCACTCCACTTCTAACGTTGTTTGGTGCTTTTCCTATTCACATGAGGAAATTATGCTTTGCCAAATGTTGAAAAATAAAACAATCATGCAAAGTCTAATATTTAAAAACAAAACTGCAAATAGCAGCCTGGTGGGGCAAACTTGGCTTCTTTTTTGGCTCAGGGCAGGCATGTGTGAGGGGCAGAGGACTCTGAAGTTCTGCTCTGAGCCGTTTAGTACTGAGAGCTTAGGCGGGAAGCGCAGGCCTCCAGTCTGACGCTGATGCTAGCCTGACCCTGAGACGTGGAATGCATCTCTTCCTTCCTCTTAGGCGTGCTCTCCTCCCTGCTGGCTCGTAGGATTGGCCTGTGAGTGAGTGAGCTAATGACGCTCTTCCAGCCAGTTCCGGCAGGTACACAGGCACACGGTGCTGCACCGGGGCCCTGACTCAGAGCTGGCCAGTGTCACGCAAGTGTGAATGGAGCGTGACTTTTTCAGTTTTCTGCCTCAACTAGGAGACTTTTTATCCCATAGTCACAACTCAGCATTGGTCCTAAAACACCTAAATCTCCAAGCAAAGGTGACTGAAGCAAGGAAAACACTGTGAGGCCCTTTCTGTTCCCTCTCAGTCAGAGCTGGGCTGGAGTGCCAGGAGATGTCAGTGAGTTCAAACTGCTGTGGTCGGTAGTTCACAGTGCTGCTCACTGGAAGCACCTGTAGGCTCTTCTTCCCTTCGTGCACCCTCGGCCACCTGCTCTGGGCAACTGACCGCATTCCCCGACACAGTCCCCATCGGGGCAGTGAACTTGGGCTTGTGGTGAGAAGGACCCGGAAGGAGAGTCCATCCCCTCAGTTGTACACCAGTCTGACCAGACGAGAGTGCCTGGCACGCTTTGTCACACCTGGGCCTGTGCAGGCCAGGTCCCTGCCAGCAGCCCCGAGAGCCCCTGAACACAGGCAGAAGGCAGTCACTCGGAGCAGAGTGGCCGCTGACTCAGATGGCTGGCCCAGCACCTGTCTGTGTTTTGGTGACTGAGTTTCCTGGGGCAGCCCCGATGCCCTGTCCAGCTTGAGACGCCTGTGTTTGACAGTGAAGGCACAGAGAAACCTAGACCGTGTTTGAAGTGTGACCGCGGCTGGGTGTTCAAGGTGAGGGTAGAGTGGAAAATGGACTGGTCCCCGAGATAGAGGGGTCACCCCTGCCCAGGCTCCTGGGTCTCTGGGCACCAGCAGTCACCCCTGTGAGCAGCAAGTGCAGATGGGGGCTCGCCACGCCCCTCCACCGCCTGTCCCTTCTGTCTCCTGTCCTCCAGGAGAATCCCTCCAGTGCTCCTTCACCGCTAGCCTTCTTTCCTGGGAAACCATGAGTCCAGTTCCCTTAAAACTCCCGGGTTCAGAGACGGCTAAGTCTGTTATTCTTTTCTCCAGCTCAGTGGGCTTTCCTGAAGGCAGCAACCTTTCTGGTTTGCTCTGCTCTACATTCATCTACTGATCAGGAAATATAACTGAACAATGGTAGAAATTTGTTAAATGAAAACATCCTAATAACATAAGAGTATCCTCTCTTCAGCCAGGAATGGTGGGATGAGCCTGTAGTTGCAGCTACTTGAGAGGCTGAGGCAGGAGGATCACTTGAGCGCACCAGTCTGAGACCAGCCTGGGAGCCGCTTTCTCAATTAAAACAAAGTCCTCTCTTTGATAAGATGGCTTTAATGGGCATCCATTTAGTGGCTTTAAATCGTGAATGTCAGGATGCCAAAAGAAATACATTTAATTTTTTACTGCCTGATAAATGTGCTATCTTTTGAAACCTTGCCTAGTTCCACCCCTGCTTTTTAAAAATGAGCAGTAGGTTAAGAGTGTTGTGTCTGACTTAAAGTAAAATAAAAATAATTTAGTTTGATATAAATTTATTGAAGTCACCTAGAGATAATTTTCTGTTGAAATCAGTACTGAATAAAGAGTAATTTCTACAAAGCTTTATCATCCAGATTGTATATATATTTTTATTGTACTATTGGAAATATAGTATAATGTACCCCAAAACAACTCAAATAAACTTTTGGTGTTTTTTAAAATAAAAGGCATGTACACTGAAAAAACATTTCAAAAAATAAAGAAACATTTAGGAGTCATTCAGCCTTGAAACTGCCAGCAATTGAATACTGTGGGTCTTTAGAGAATCCTCCACCAGACTCTGACTCACACAATAAAACCAGTGATCCAGGGATGGGCACTGAAATTAATTAGATCACTTGCCCATTAACTGCCAAACTGTGGGAAATTAAATCACGGTAGACGAGGGATGATTTCTTCCAAAGGATCCACTCGTTAGAAACAGCTGATCCGTTAGCACTTCAGGTGAGTTTCCCATTCTCTCCAAAGCTAACATGTCCAAGCTAAAAACAGCTGTTTCCACACAAGGAGAACCACTGGGAAACACGCCCTTGGACTGGGTGGGGAGCAGCCCAGAGCAGAGCGTAGAGGCGCTTAGTGGACCTCGGGGCCTGGGGGTGACAGTCACACGGCAGGGCAGGACCTGGGGCCAGACACCCACAGTGCCCCAGCTCCACCCCTGGGACCTCACTGATTCTGGCACAGACTCATCTAGCTTTGGAAGTTCCATTTTAAAGGTGAGAACATGAAGGCCCAACTAGATGAAATGATTTGCCTTAGACCACACAGAAGAGGCAGCGGCCAGAACTTTCCCCAAGTCCACTGAAGCCCCAAACACAGCCTCTCTCGGGGCCTCTGGCTGCTTCTCCCTTGAGAAGTGACAAGGAGCCACCCACTCTCACGGGGCTGCCTTCGGTCATTTGTGAGTCAGACCTCTAGGAAGCAGATGCCTTTTCTCTCCCCGTGGAGAAAGGAAGGAGTCAGGGCTGTGTGTGTTACCAGCACTTCCCATCACTGTCAGCAAAATAGCTTCCTCACTCCTGCGGCCTCCACGAGAGCCCGACAAAGGCGGAGAAGTGACAAGACCGACCCAGCGTCGTGGAAGGGAACCTCGCTCTCCTTTTATTCGGGTGCTCACAATCAGCCCATGTCCCTTGTCCTTTAATCCGAAGTGAGCGCAGGTAAAATCTTACGTATCTAATACGGAAGGTGTATGGCCAGGTCTCTAGCCAAGACAGCCCGAGGAAAAGCTGCGCATCCGCCTACCACCAGGGTGCTGCGCGATGCTAGGGCGGGGCGTGGGTGCTGTCCTTCCTGTGCAACCTCACTTGCCCAATGGGCGCCCCCTACCCCTCCGGCCGGCGCAAGGACTGCGTCAGGCTGGAGCGATGTGGCCAAAGCCAGGCTCCTTGACGCTGGGGACGTCGTTCTTCCTATAGAAGTCCGCCTGCACGTGGTTCACGCGGCCATGGCCCCGGTTCAGGGGCTCAGTGGGCTGCTGGATGCGCTTCCCATACACGGAGGACGACAGCACCCCCACAGTCCTGGCCTGTTCCTGGTGAGAACAGCAAAGCACTGTCAGCACCCACGTTCACCAGCGCAGCTGAGCCGCTGCTGTCTGGGTCCGCCCAGGGGCTAAGCAGGTGCCCACACACCTGCAGGCTGCCTCCACCTGACCCCGTGGGCTCCTCCCGAACAACACCAGAACCTGCCCTCTGCCCAGCGGCTCTGACGGCCTCGCGTCGCTCAGAGGAAAAGGTCGGATCCTGCGGCACGCACCTCCAACTGCAGACTCCCCGCTGCCCAGTCGCGCCCTGCCTTCCCCCAGCCCTTGTCGCCTCAGCTCTCTCCCCTCTTGGCTGTGCCCCAGAACGCTCTCCTCTGGAAGGTGACTGAACCATGGCGCGCTGTGCTCATCAGCGGAGCCATCCGTGATGAGTCAGGGCTGCTGGAGCAGTGAGGAAGAGAGGCAGGGCCTGCTCGGAGGGGTCCCTGGGACACGACCTGGAAGGACATATTCTGGTCCCGAGCACCTCCCTTCTCTCTCTGTTCCCTGGCTGCCATGGGGTGAGCGGCTTTTCTCCCCCAGGCCACTCCACCATGCCATTTCTGCCTTGGAACCAGCCCACCATGGACTGAACCCCCTAAAACCCATGGGCCCAAATAAACCTCTCTTCCTTTAAGTTGTGGGTGTCGGGATTGTGTCCCACTGATGATGAGAAGTAGCCAAGAGCCCTTCCTGCCTCTTCCTCTCTCCGAGCACTCAGGGCAGTTCTCTCCAGCTTTCAGAACTCTCTCCCACCCACCTGCTCTTCCTGCTCACTTCTCTGTCCTGCTCCTGCTGGGGCTGCTACACTGCTGGAGTCTCCAGATGTCACGAAATCACAGCCTCCCGTGCACCCCTCCCTGCTGGGGCCACTTCTCTGTCTCCTTAAATGACTTTCTTTTTCTGCATACCTGGTATCACTACCTGGAATAGGATTAAGTATTTCCTTTATTTTTGTCTCTGTGGGAATGTCAGCTCCAGAGGACAGGACCCTGTGTCATTTCCTTTACACTCAGTCGTACGTGGGAGTACATGCTCGGCAGTACACATATTACATGTACACACATGTATGTGCAAGGCAATAAAGAGTAAGTGACGTGAGCCTCGTTTTTCTCATGAGGAAAGTACTGACCTCCTTTTGCTACATTGGGATGCATTAACATGAACAAAACTAGTAGAAAAACTCAGTATGTGCAGCCTCAGTGTAAATACTTCATAGTACCTTCATGACTTAATCGTATAAAAAATAAAAAGAATCTCTACACGTGGCACTGTGCCATACTTTGCAGTGCTGGTGACCAAACCCAGGGATTCGTGCATCCCAGGCAAGTGCTCTCTTACTGGACCACATCCCTATTCTGGCATTCCTAAACAGTAATAGTCATAAGACCCAAACAGAAGCCTTACCGGAAGCTTTTATTCTGTATATATTCTATGTAATAGTTAATGCACAATGCATAATGTATAAAAGGCTACTCATTCAGCTCCTGACTTCTAATACTCCTGCTGTCCTCACACCAGGCTTTGTGAACATATTGTTCAGAGTGCAGCAAGGCAGCAGAAGGGTCTACCCTAAAAGGCCGATGGGCCCAGCCAGGCTAAGAGGTGATACCTGCTGTGAACCTCTCCCTCTGGCAAGCTCTGACCTCCTCAACCCTCTGAGACTGGCTAGCTGTGCAAGACTCCCAGCTGCGGCTGACTGCAGGAGAGCGCCCCCTTCCAGAAAATCGGGAAAGTCAAAAGAAGAGTGGCCTGGAGTGTTACAGTGGCTCAGGGCCTAAATAAACGTGGAGAGATATCCTGGTGCAGGCAGCTTCCACCCTGGACAGCACAAGGTCCTGGAGGAACTGTGACAGCCAGGACTCAGAGGGCAAGCAGAGACCTGTTTTATCTATGGAAAGAGCTTCTTTATTTCACTATGCTTATGTGGTTATCTTCCATCAAACCAAACAACAGAATGAAAAACAAAAATTAACACACAAATGACACTATAAAATAGAGGGAGCTAGAACAGTAGCTTGGTCTCAGCTTCTTGGCACAGTGAGATATACGTGAATTGTTTAAAAAGAAAGATACATAAAGCAACAGAACACAAACTTAAATGCATATGTGTGTACACACATCATTATATACACACATGCACATCCACACACATGTACTCATGAACAATACACATATTACATACACGAACACATGTATACATATTTACACAAGGGTGTACATACAAATGTGCATGTTTAAACATGCATGTTCAATATGTGTCTACATACACAGACACATACACACATATGTGAATATGTACACAGGGACATACACACTTGTGAATATGTACACAGACAGGGACACACATATGTGAATATGTACACACACAAGGACACATGCACATATGGGAATATGTACACATACAGGGACATATGCATATATGGGAATATGTACACACAGGGACATATACACATGTGAATATGTACATACGTATAGAGAGGAACATATGCACGTATGTGAGTATGGACACACACACATATATTGTTAGTATATTCTTACTCTCACCTCCTCAGCAACATGAAGTCCCAGGCCTTTTGCGTGTTCTCTGTCGTCTCGGTGCAATTTCTGATTATAATCTAGGCGTCTCTTAAAGATGCAGTCATAGAGCGAAACGATCCCTGTCTGGGAATAAAATAGAAGGGAGCCATGGTTAACCTGAAGGTTGAGCCTCTGGTGTCTGACAGAGCCGGGATGTGTGGTTTCCTGACTGCGGTGTGCTGGGAAAGGGCCCACATGACTGATGCAGGCACAGCTGGACCTGGAGCAGGAGGAAGCCGGGCCCCATGGCCAGAGCAGGGTGCTGGGGGCCGGGACAGAGCAGGGACATTCCCACAGCACCGTCCTCGATTCCATGGACGTGGCCGCTCAGGGTCTCTGCCTGTCTGACCCACGGCCACAGCTCAGATCGTGGATGGTAATAGTGACCGAGTCTTAGTCCATTCAGTCCACCGGGAAACAGAATCCCACAGACCGGTGCATGCACAGAAACTTCTAGGCACGGGCAGAGTCTAAGTCTGCTGATGGCTGCTGTGTGCTTCAGAGCTGGCACTCCTCATTGTGTCCTCCCATGGGAGAAGGGGCGCAAAGGGGCGCATGAGCTCCCAGGCCTCTTCGAGAGCACTAATCCCATTCGAGAGTGCTGCATCGTCCTGGCCTGTTACTCCCAGTGGCCCGTGCTCTGAACGCCACAATACTGGGGGCTGTGTCTCAACACAGGAATCTGGGTGTGGGGGTATAAACCCTGAGAGCACAGCAAGACTATCTCTAAGGATGTGTGTGTCTGTTTAAAAACAAAAATCCCAAATTGTATAATAAACTTGCATTGCTTTGAAAAATTACCAATACCCGAATGCTAAGACGACATAACCGAACAAGAGTTGTTAAGTTGCTAGCCAATATTCAAATGTTCTATATGAAAACCTTCCCTTGAGAGACAAAAATATTTTCTTTAATCACATGTGCTAGATCAAACACTTGGAAATTCCAATATGTGGATATCCTTTCTCTATATGTTCTATACATGTGCCTCTATCACATTAATGAAATGCACATACACACGTAAATGCACTGCACTGATGTATTAAGAAAATGACTCGTCAACTGAGCTCTCATCTGTCCTATCTCCAGTTTTTCATCTACTTAAAAAAAAAAAAAGTCTAGGACCGGGGATTTAGCTCAGAGGTTCCGCCGCCTGCCTCGAAAGCACAAGGTGCCAAGTTCAACCCCTGGTACCAAAAACATAAAAAATAAAACTAAATAAGTCTGCCTTGTTCGCTATCTAGTAAAAGAAGGAGTTCACATCCCGGCTGGTCTTTAATCGTTACCCACTAAGGCAGACCTGGCATTTGTCACTCCTGTCACCCTAAATCCAGCAGTAAACCCTGACATCACCACAGGATGGGGGAGCATCAGATCTCTAACTTTCGCTCGCTTACTTCGGCTTTACTTTTTCCTGATAGTGATGTGAGAACGATTTCTTCCAAGTGCAGGACAGGAATGTGGAAACAAGCAGTGAAAATGATGCACGATGCGTGTTTGGTGTGGGAAACACACCATCCTCACTGACCCGTCCTCACTGGCCTCGGGAGCCCCAAGCTCCTGGCAGCGGTGGGAATGACCACAGTGTAACTAAGAGCCTCACGGGTCCTCTTAGGCCGCTCACAGATCACCTGCCAGATGCAGTACCGTGATGCGGCGGCGCTCGGACCCAACTCAGAGGTGTGACTGTCCTCGTGCAACTGCGCATCCTGTGGGGGAAGCAGCACCACCTCTCAGGTTCACTTCGGAGGTGCAAGAGCAACACACATGGGAGGCACTTACTCCAACACCGCTGGAGCCCCGCTTTGCCTACGACCAGAGTCGCTGTGTGTCTCAGAGGGAGAAAGTGACCTCCTCTCCGGAGCACAGCTTTGGCCTCTACGCTGCTGGTCATTTAATGTGAACACAAGTGTCCTGTCTCCACGCTTGCTTACCTGCTCAGCTTCTGGGCGTGTTGTTTCCAAACCACCCTGGCCTTCAAGGCTCCTGAAATATCCCAACTGATGCTGGAAAAGCCAAAGTCAGTGGGGAATTGATAAACTGTTCAGCATTTAGCACTGCAAAAATCGCCTAGCTCTTTGGGGCTTCACATCCCATTATAGATAAAAGTAGTTCCTGACAGACTAGAAAATAAGTGAGAAAGAAAACCCAGAGGAGACCTCCTACACACAAAGGCGATGAGGAGAATGTCATAAAGAAAACATCAATCACTTTGACTGTGAAATTAGACATTTGTTTATCAAATAAAACTAAAGTTTTTTGGGTTTTTTTTGGTACCGGGGATCGAACTCAGGTCCTTGCACTTGCAAGGCAGGTGGCAGAACCACTGAGCCAAATCCCCGGTCCCAAAGTAAATTTAAAAAAAAAACCCTTTTGAAGACATGACAGAGGCATGTCCATCTCTTTAACACATATCGCAGGGGCGGGGATCGAACTCAGGTCCTTGCACTTGCAAGGCAGGTGGCAGAACCACTGAGCCAAATCCCCGGTCCCAAAGTAAATTAAAAAAAAAAACCCTTTTGAAGACATGACAGAGGCATGTCCATCTCTTTAACACATATCGCAGGGGCGGGGGGCTCTGTTAATGCAGAAGCTGGTGGGCTGTGAACCAAGCACAGCTTTTTGGGGTGAGCCAACAAAAGGCCCTCTGTGACCCAGAAAATCCAAGTGCATCGCCCTCCTTGTGCAGGTGCAGGTAGTGAGCTCTGCAAAGGCAGAGGCTTCGGCAAGCACATGTATCACAGCCAGACTTTCCCTGCTGATGCGCAGAGCTACTGGCCAGGCCCAGATGGGGCCAGCAGGGAAACGAGAGCAATCATGACTCGATATCCCATGATGACAGAGCAGCTGGGTTCCTGGTCCTAATCCAGGTGTTCCCTGGTCTCTGCCATTGCTCCTGCTGCCGCGAGATTAGCCAGCGTGCTACATGATGAACAGGACCCCCATGGCTCTGAGGCGCCCTCTTCTGCACCCTAAGAACCTTGTCTCCACATGGAGCTCACTGCTGGCCACCACAGGCTCACTGAGGTCAATGAACAGCTCGGCCAGAGGGGGTCAGCACTGATGTCCAGAAAACAGACCCTCCAGGAACTGCCTGGGCTGTACCTGCTCCTGTCCAAGTAAGCCCCACCCCTCCCAGGGTCCTGGCTTATCCTGGGAGAATGGATTCAAGGACAGAAGAAGAACGCAGTCACTATTCCTATATGAGGAAGGGAAGGCGAATGTGCTTTAAAGGAAACCCAGTATAATGTGTAGCTTTAAAGAAAAGCTGGCCGTTTCTTTCCATTCTCCTCAGGGCTCCTAACACGTGTAAAAGTACCTGCTGCCTTCCAATCCCAGAATTAGTTACCAAGCACCAAGCACATCTTAGTCTGTAGGGAACAGGGGAAGGGGACGTTACCAGAACCTCTGCAGTGAGTCCTGGTCTCCTGCGAGCCATGGTAGCACATGGAGAATTACAGGAAAGGTAGAAAACAGACTGAGAAGAAGCTGAGCTTTGGGTCTGATCAGTGCTGCTCTGGGGAGCAAAGACAAGAACCCCTAGCTTACCGCACCTTTTATTCAGTACATCAGGAGAAACAAATGTAACAAATGAATATGTAGATTTCAGTACTTCACATTGGGATAAACAAGGTGTAACAAAAGACTGGGCTGGGTGGGGGGAGGCAGAAATCTCAGAACAATGCAGATGAAGATTTGGTTCCTCCCAGGAACTACACAGATGAAGATTTGGTTCCTCCCTGGTGTCTCCTGAAGGTGTGGTCTTGTCCTGGAGCATTACAGCATCACGGGATCATTGATATCTCAGTTGTGACCTGAGGCCTAAATGGAGTTATGTTTTGGAATGCCATAGCTGGCCTGTAGGCAGGAGAACTAGGCCTACTCAAATGATTTTTCCCTAGAATTATGTAGCATTGCTCCCAACAGTAGTCTTCATTGGGAACCTCACTGCCACAGGGTGTGGAGAGATCAGAATCTTGGAGAACTTTGCTTTGCATGGATTTTGCATATTCAGAACTTTCCAGAGTGAAAATGAATTTTTCTCTCATTAAAAATTAAGAACAAAAGGAAAAAAAGTCACTATGAGACAGGCAGCCTGACTGAGAAAAGTGACTGTCCATTTCCAATTTCCAATCAAAATGCAAGTGTGTCTTTCCTGGATTTTAATTACTAATCTTTCTTCTTTTTTTCTTTAATCCCGTATGGCTTGAGATTAATAAAAACCAGCTGGGATTTAGATGCTCTCACAGGACAGCATCTGAGTTACTGGTATTTTTGCAGCTTAAATCTTTTAAGGAATTACTCTGTCTCACACATGATGCTGCTTTTCAAAACAAGCAAAACAGAAAACATGTATTTTTTCTTGCCATCCCTCTTCCTCTGTTCCTTCGTGTTTCAGCATCGCCACACCTGGTGTTGGATGACCTGCCATGAGCATCCCTTGGTGACCCCACTCCTGATGCTGAGAGCTTCCTGCAGCCTGGGGCCAGATAGATGCTGCTGTGGAGCTGAAGCGAGGTGGTGGGTCCTCGAGGGAGAAAGTAGGTTCTGGGACCCCTGGTCCGCCCTCTCTCTCTGCCTCCTGCCTGCCATGAGGTGAGCCACATCTCCCACGTGCTTTTGCCATGATGTTCTGTGTTATCCCAGACCCAGAAACAACAGAGCCAAGTGACCATGGACTGAAATCCCTGAAACCGTGAGCCCACACAAATCTTTCCTCTTTTAAGTTGATTTTCGCAGGTGTTTTGTCACGGTGATGAAAAATAACATGGCCAGTTGCAGGGAACCAATTAAACACAAGTTTAGAGATGCCCCAAATGGGCTCTCATCAGGGGGTAAGAGCAGGCTCTGTACTCGGCCTCTCAGGGTTCAGGTCATTTGGTCCTGCAGGGCATCCTGGTTCACCTCCACCAATATGGAAACCGGGCTGTGACAGGACAGCGCTAATTCCCTCTCTTCATAGACCATGCTGTCACCTCACATCCTGTGCTTTTCAGTCACTCCACCTGCACAGATGCCATGTGCAGCGCAGACACTCTAGGGGCTGGGGCCAGGGGAGGAAGTAGGTCCCAGGGGCGGGCTCT